TGGACAATCCATGTTCTTGAAATCGGGCGCCTTGCACGCACCCACAAACGTACTAAGCTCTCTACTAGGGTGATCAGCCGCGTGCCTCCATCAAGCTTGGCAAGCCTGACCATCTCATTGACAACTCTCTGAGTCGGCCAGTAGAGCACCCGCTCGCATGCGTGGTACAGTGTGCAGAGCGCCAACAAGCCAGCGTCAGAGAGGAAATAGAAGGCACGAGGATGCAGCCTCGTGGGCCCAGTGGCCGTCGTCCACTTGAACGCGAGGGCCGCCTTGGACAGGTCTTCAGGCCGAAGAGGAGGAAGGTTATCCCATGAATGCGCATCACTGGGCAGAGCTGGCCCACCCTGACCGTGACAAGACCATACCTCATGCCAGACATCCATTTCCCTGTCGGCCATCTGGTACGGCTGCATTCTGTCGGTGTGCGCCACTGCTGCCTCAAGCGCCTTGACCTTGGAAATACGATGCGCAGGGCCTGCACCTTTCTTGAATGCCGTGTCGATCCAAGACTTCCAGCTAGCCTCCACCTTCTTCTTATGCACTTGGTGGAGCTCATCTGCATGCTCGACTATACGGTAGATCTGCTGCTCGAAGTCGTCCCTTCCAAGCAAGGCTATGCCATCTAGGAAGAAGTTCTGCGTCTCCTCATCCAGGTGATGCATCATGTGGTTCTGCTGCCCCACTATCTTAAGCAAGAAGCGATCTGTGTCCACCAGCGAACGAGCCAATCTATCAATGGGATTCTGACTCGCTGATTCACGCCGCTTCCTGGATTGCGTTCTGCCAGGATTCCTTGGACCCGCTCGTGGCATCGAGGCTGACGCAGTAGCCGCGGCCGCCGAAGCAGCGCCCGTAGGCCCTCTACCAGGGGCAGAGACAGCACAGGCCGAAGACGCAGAACGCGGCGCCATCGACCCTCCAGCGATTCCACCGCACGGGGTCACTGAGCTGAGAGCCGCCTGAGCCCTTACGGGCATACACGGATCAGCATAGGACACGCACCGCGGGGCAGTCTCGTCCTTCATGGGGCGAAGGCAGCATGACCCACTCGTAGATGCCCTCTGTGATCTCGAAAAGACAGGTGCTTGCCTGTCATATATGTCACCTGCTACACGTTGTTTGCCAGGTATAGGTACACCATCGCTCGCCTTCGAACTGTTCCTTCTGCTGGTGACCTTCGTCCAATTCTCCTCTGCTTCATCTCTCATGGGATCTGCGGCAGCAGGTGCCATGGAAGGCTGTCGGCTGGACCAGGGCGAACTGCAGTCAGGAAGGTGAAACCCGCCCGCCTATCATCACGCACAGCTTCCTGCACCAACTTGATCCAGAAGGCTCGCACTCTCATAAGATGTTTCGCCCATCTGGCCGCAGCCTGCCAGGCTAAGGCTGTCGGCCCAAGAGCTCCCGCCTCCCTCTTGGGGACCCAGTGTGCTTCAACAAACTTGGTGTATCTTGGGCCCGCTCTGCCCCTGAATGGAGCCGCATCATCGTCGACCACGTCGTATCTGTTGAGAATCTCAAATTCCACTCCAGTCATGACTGCGTCCCAAGCCATCCTTAGCGTGTCGTCGTCCTATGCACGTAGAATGGTGCCCATCACTTGATCCCAAATCATAGGAAACCGCGAACAACCTTGCTTGGGTAGCTTTGGCAACTGCTTGGGCTCAACAGGGACCCTCAACCAGATTTGCTTGGGCACGGCTCGAATCGAAAGCGCCACAGGCGCATGCGTGGGTAGCCCTACAGCAGCCAACACATCTGGTGGCTCAATGAAGGCAGCCAAATTGGAGTGGACCAGGAAGTAATCGTAGATCTTGTCCTCGACGGAGTTGGTGGTACGACAGGTGACTTGCGCAGGTACCATCATCAACGCATGAGTCTGGGCCACCCACTCCTGTGAACCAATCAAATTCGCACTCATATTAAAGTCCCCTCCAATGACCCACGGCCGATTGGCCGCGTTGAGGCGGCCCACATACTGCGCCACCTTGTGGAGAACCATAAGGTTGTAGTCATTCAAGTCTACGGAGTCCTGCAAGTAGAGGGAGATGACAACCAACCCGCTCTTCAGGCCCCAATTGACCTGCGCTGCCACAGCACGAGAAGGCACAATCTCAGGGTCCTTGAGCAGAGGTGGCGCCGTAATCGTGACATAGCTCGGCGTAATCACTGCAATCCCAGCTGACAGCCCATCAGCTGCCGTGCGCTTGGCCGCCGAGAAACTGCCGTGGTAGCCCATGCACTTGAGCTTGTACTGCAAGCTAGGCAGCATCAGGCCATCTGACTTATGCTCTTGAACCAGTATCACCGCATCAGTGGCCTGCTCCACATAACGTAGCAGAGGACCAGCTGCATCATAATTGACAATAACAATCTGCCCCTTGATCTTAGAATCGGAATTCGTCATCTTGACCAGAAAAGTATACATCATCATGGCGTGGATTAGCCTCCTAGGCCTAGTAGGCCTGGAAGCCTGGCCCCTTCCTCTGCTTGGCATGCTGCTCCAGCTTGCAGAGTCGGTTGGCTGCATCCCGCATCTCCTCCAAGGTCGTGGGCACCTCCTGGCCCGCCTCAGCCAGGTAAGGCCGCAGGACCTCTTCGGTTGCTTCTTTGATAGGCACCAGAGGAACATCATCATCAGCAATTGACTCATTGTCCAGCAGCTCAGGAATCGCCTCATGTCTAGGCGCACCCACAGGTCGCAACCGAGCATTCGTGATGATTTGCGGCAGTGCTTGAGCCACGCCGTGCGCGATGGCGTCAGTCCTGTCAGCAGCTCCGAGGGCGCGCAAGACCTCGCCCGACTTGGTGGTATCAAGGCCCAGAGCTTGAACAGGTTGCCCAGACTCCCCGTCATTATTTGGTGCAGGTGGGGCATAGCTCTGGCGCGCCAAGTCCGCGTGCTGGGTCTGGAGCTCGAGCAGCTTGGCCTTCTTGTCCAGCACTTTCTGCTCTGCCTGCGCCAGCACCTCCTGGAGCTCCTTGATGACCGCCTTCTGGTCTTCCACGTCCTTCTCCGCTTTGGTAATTTGCTTACCCATGGCTTCAATCTGCTTGCCAACGACGAACATGTGTGAGGCGGCAGGCTTGTGTTTGTTGATCTCTCCCTGGAGCTCGCTGCGCTCTTTGGTGAGCGCCTCCTTGAGTACGTCCCAGGCTGCGCCCACTCCTTTGCAGGCGAGAGCGATCTCCTTGTCCAACTCCAAAATACGTGCTCGAAACTTGCCTTCATCGAAATCATTTCCCATAGCCTTTGGCTCCGACGCATCCATGGCATCAGGCGATGGCACGTTCTTGGCCTGGACTTGTTTCTCCAGCTTGGCGATCGTCTCCTGCGCCAGGCGCAGCTGCTTGGCCACTTCCCACGGTGCCGAGCCAGCGCTGGTAGCTTTTTTGCCACCTCCCTTGAGACCACCAGCGTGCACGCTCGGGTCGGTGGTGGACTGCTTGTAGGCCTTGAAGCAACTGCTTTTGGGACGCCTGCACGAGAAGCATGTCGTTCTGTCGGCCTTATTGAAGAAAGGTTCGCCCGTGCGCTCGTGGATGCAGGTCTTGCACAGCCAAGTCTTGTCGGCGACTGGGCGTAGCACCATCCTGACCCCTCAACGCACACGAGGAACAAGAGTACTGAGAGAGACGCGCCGAGATGGGGCGGACCACCTCGGCGCTCGCCCTGGGGCTGACCAGGGGAAGGACTGCAAACTGGCCGCGGACTAGCGGTATCCACTCGTTCCCCTGCGGAACAAAGCATCTTGAGCCAAAATGGCTACGGAGGGGAGGAGGAGGAGGAGGAGGAGGAGGAGGAGGAGGAGGAGGAGGAGGAGGAGGAGGACAATCCACTGATCGACGTGTCAGGGTCCCCGGCAGCGGCGACGGCGGCGGCGGCAGCGGCGACGGAGGCGAAGCGCGGCGAGAGCAGTGTTGTCGGCAGACTGGAGGCTTGGAGATGGGCACCAACACCAACACAGGGGGGCTGCCTCCTCCGGGGGAAGATTAGAGGACTCCTAGATGGGGTCGGAGTAGATGGGGTCGGAGGATCGCATCGCATCGCCAATACATCGGATATGCATCGGCGATGAATCGGCGATGCATCGTCGATGCACCGGCAATGCATCGCCGACGTCGGCGATGCATCGGCGACGTCGACGTGAAGCAAATCGGGCTGCACATCGAGCCACATCGGCGATGCATCGGCGATGCGGCGCGATCCTCCGACCCCGTCTGCTGCGACCCCATCTGGGAGGCCTAGAAAAATGACCCCAGATTTCGGCGCTGGTGGTAGTCTGTCGGCGGCCTAGGAGGCCCGAGCATTACCACCAGCACCGAGATCTCGGGGTCGCCACCCCTCGGTGGAAGCACACCGCCGATATGGGTGTTGGTGTCAGTCTCCGGGCCTCCGAACATAGCCATAGAAGAGAAAATGCTTCAATCATGCGAGGAGAGCCTGCACCACGGAGCAGGCCGGAGAGCCCCGGCAGCGCCTGGCAGCACGCCCAAGGCTCACGATCGGCCGCTGGTCCCCAGGTTTCTGCAGCCTGGAAGGAGCCCTGTGATAAGGAACCCTTGGGCAAGAAGCCGAGGGTCTGCAAAGCGGTGGAACGCCAATATCACCGCCGCCCTCATCGGTTACAGCCGGCCCATAATTAGCATAAGGATGCGCAATAAGGATGCAAGGGCCTTGGGCGTCCATTTCGAAGCGTTTCGAGCGGGGCGCGGCCAACTAAAGTGGCCAAGGATGGACCAAGGAGGGAAGGATGCAAGGGTGCCCTTGAGAAGGTGGCCCATCCTTACTGTGCGGGTTGACTGTAAGGGATCCTCCAAGCTCTGAGACCTCCTGGCACATTCCTTACCGAGCACCCACGCCGTACGGAACAGAAAACCAGCTAGATCTCCAGCGATATGCTTTGTTGTCGATCCATGCGTCTTTCCTCGAATTCGGATTCCAGAGCCCGCAATCGGGCCCCCACAATGAAAAACGGATCTGGGGTGAAAACCTAGCCCTGGGAAAGGGATCGGCAGCTCTGGGCCTACGGTTTGAAGATATCCGCCGACACCTTGTGGGTCTCCAGGCATGAAATAGCCCCCCCCCAATTCCCCCCAGCTGGAGCCCAAACAGGCAGTGAGACCCCCCCCAAGCCCAGCACTGTCGCCAAGTGAACTCATCAGGAGGGGCCCCCAGGATGGCCCAAGATGATCCCGAGGCGGCTCTGAGAGGCCCCCAAGACGGCCTCCGAAGGGGCCAGACGGCGCAAGAGCGCCCCTAGACGGCCCTGGATGCCCTCTGGAAGCCCCAAAGAGGCCCCAAAGAGGCGCCCAAGAGGCCAAGAAGCTCCTAAGGAGACCCCACGACGACTTGACTGTACCAGCTCCAGACGTGCACCCCGCGAAGCGAGAGGAATGCACATCCAGAAGTGACGTGTTGCTGGAGGCAGGCCCGCGGAGGCTCAAATGCAAACGTGCCCAACGAATCCACGTATGAAGAAACTACACATCGTAGCTTTTCCGATTAATGCTTAACCCATCCTCACCGCCCTTGGAGTCGCGCCACTTCCGCCGACCCATAGACGGGAGACCCCTTCGGGGCCTCAAGCCTTACAGCAACTCATGGAACATCGTTCATTTCGGCCTCTTGGGTCTCTAGGGGATCCAACATGGCCTCAAGACGGCACAAGATGGCTTCAATATGGCCCAAGACGGCCCCATGAGAGCCCAAGAAGCCCCCAAGACGGCCCCAGAGGGCGCCAAGAGGACCCCCAAGAGCGCCTCCGGAGGCTCGAAGCATTGGTTTCCCCAAAGTGTTTGATGTATTTTTGAACGTTCTCGCCTTTTTGGACCCTCGGGGGCCGATGACGGCCCATCCAGCCTCCAAGAAGACCCCAAGACTGCCCAAAGGCCCCTAAGAGGACCCCAAGTCGGCCCAAAGAAGCCACCAAGACGGCCCAAAGAGGGCCCCAGGATGATCTTAGAGGCCCCCAACACGGCCGAAGAGGACCCCAAAAGAACCCCGAAGCGGCACCGAGAGGCCCGTAAGACGGCATCCGAAGGGGCCGGACTGCGCAAGAGCGCCCTAAGACGCCCTCAGGAGGCTTCAGAAAGGGGGGGCAGCTTCAGAAACTTCCCCCCTCTTCTGCAAAGAAGGGAGGAGCTTGAAGCTGAGGACTCTCTGTCAGTCTTGCTGGCCCCACGCGCGAGCTTTCTCATGCCCATGCTATCAGCAAGCCATCCGTGTCCTGGCATTACGACTGACTTACCACGTCGCTAGAGCGCAGAATCCCCCACAGCTGCCATACATGACCATACGAACCCGCGCGCTTCCACACCACGAAATGACACAGTGGCACCGCAGTATGACGCGTGTCTTCGCGATACGACACGGACGCCAGACGGTACAACACGACGACACATGACGATACCACCCGATCCAGTCCCGTATGATGCGACAACAGACCAAGAGCCCGCACAACAACGAAATATAACACGCCACGACACGCTAGGAATTCACGACATCCTACACCTCTGGCTCACCCCCACCCCCGACCCGCAGCTCATCCCAACCCCCGCCTCCGTCCCCCACCACCCGGGCATTGTGGCCCCACCTCCCGCACCACACCGCACCACCTCACAGAGCAGCCCGTAACACCACACGACTTCCCAAGAAACCAGTGCGACCCCGCAATGAAACCAACAGCGGCACCACCACCGCACCGCAACAACATTACTCCACCACGACACCTTAATAATACCACCGTCGCACGGCAAGGCTGTGCATCACATGCTGTAGTCCCTTGTGAGACACCCAACTCTTGATACCCCAGAAGCACGATGACTGACACCGCGCGCTGGCGTCTGCGCCCAAACGACCCGAGAACAACTCCACACGCACGTCGCTTCACGTCGCACTTGACGCGCGAACAAAGCTGTAAGTTCGATGCCCTGGTGCAAACCCTTTCCAGGCACTTTCCGATCGGCGGAGTGGAGAGCAGCATCCCGAGAGCTGACATTACCATTTTACTCCGACCGCGTCGCCGCTCACAATGCGAAACCATGCCCGAGAATATACGCCGCCGACCCCTCTGCACAGTTCACTGGTTCGATAGCTTCGCGTAGGCTTGATAAACGTCGTATGATACAGCTTGCGTGAAGAAACTGAAATGACACACGTTGAAACTGGTGAATATGCACTGCTCCTTACCCTCCGCGGAGCCCTGGGTAGTGATCCCGACTTCGTCCCCTTCTGGGTTGAGAGCTAGTCGATGCACGTTGTCCCACTGCGCCCAACGCGCGCCGAAGAAGTTGATGGAGAAGCGGCCCTGCCCGGGCTGCCCGTATCTGGCAGCAACCTCCTTACCGTAGACGATGCAGCCCTCCGACCACGAGAAATTCTGGCGGTGAGCTAAGAAATACCGGTGCAGGTCTGAGGCGCGGCTGCCTCCGTTGAGGAGAAGTGGGCCGAACAGGCCTGGTTGACCATACTCGTGCGGATACTCTTCGAGTCCGTGGATCCGAGCCTTGAGCTCCCGGATGTGCTTGGCCTGGTAGTACGCGGTGATTCCGTTGTTCACGATGTTGGCGTGGACAATGAACTTCTCGCGGTGCGTGCGGATGTACTCCACATAAGAATCGAAACGAGACGTATCTATGTAGACAATGTCGTCATCTGCCTTCACCAACACTGTGTTCTCCCGCGTTGCCCGCGTGGACTGCGGCGTCCATCGAGGGCGCTCGGGACCCGATTTCTTTGAAGAGTAGAACTCGTACACATCGGCCCACCCGTGCCCGTCCAGGCCGTGGGTCATGACCTGTACCTCGGTGCCGTTTCGCCTCTTACCGATGCCTTTCATCCAGTAGTGGTCGAGCTTGTCCCGAGCGTAGTCCCACAAGTGCACCTCGTGAACAGAGCACTGATGCACCATCTTGTCCACGTACCGCAGGAGGACCTGCATCGTCGCCTTGCGCCCCGCAAACACGATCATGACGGTGTACGTGCTACTGTTCGTGAATTTGCTGAGGCACTCGTCTGGCGCCACCACACGCTGTCCGAAGAAGCTCACCTGCCGCCGCTCAGAAGACCGCCTGACCGGCCGCGCCCGGGAGGAGTTTTCCAGGGCCACGCTGGCAGCGAGCTCGCCCTCACCCCGCGGCGGGAAGAAGTCCTCCGCGCAGGAGCAGAATCTGCCCTCGGCGAAGGGGCAGACCTTGTCCTGCTCGACGCAGTCCCGTTCACACTCGGACGCGCGACTGGAACCGTCAGCGACCTGGTGAGCCCCTGCGGTCCAGAGGCAGGTCCTTGGGGCCTCCTCGGGCTGGACCCGAGTCTGGATGAGCTGGGAGTCGCAGTGCACAGCGCCAGCGGCGCAGGCAGGGGCGGCGCAGAAAGCCTGCGGCAGCCCCAGTACCAGGAGGAGGGCGCCCGGTGCTGTCATGGAGGTGGTGTGCAGTACTGGGTCCGCCGTCCCGCGCTTGGCGCGGGTGAGAAGGGGTGTGGCACAGTTGGCTGTCCCCCTCCCAGACTCACCCCCTGGGCCAACCCCTAGGGCTACCCCAGGCCTACCCCTAGGGCCTACCCCTACAGGCCTACTAGTAGGGCCTACCCGCGCAGAGCCGCCCTGGCCAGAGGAGAAGGAGGAGAGAGGAGGAGGTGGAGAGGAGGAGAGGGATGAGGAGCAGGAGGAGGAGCAGGAGGAAGAGGAGGAAGAGGAGAAGGAGGAGGAGGAGGAGGAGGAGGAGGGGGAGGGGGAGGACGAGGGAGAGGAGGAGGGCCCCAGTCTGGCGCTGCTCCCGGGCCCTCGGAGCCTTCAGCGCCACCACCCGCAGCCTCCGAGAGGCGCACGGCGCCTCTTGGAGGCGGCTCAAGAGGGGCTCCGACGCGCCAGAGGGGCCTCTCGAGAGCACCCAAGATGGCGGCCTCGAGACGCCCAGGAGGCCTCCAGTCGACGAGCGCGTTCCACGACTCGCAAAGTAACTACTCGCAAATGGCCTGGATCCCCCGCCAGGGATCTACGATGAATTACGTCAAAGCAGACAGGTGTTTTTGTTGACGTTTTCGAGTGGGCACTTTGCGAGTAGTGGAGCGCGCTCGGCGAGCCCGGAGAGGCGCCAGGACGGCCCCGGCAGGCAGACCAAACTGATTGCCACGGGGCTTAGGACATCATGCCACGATCTCGCCCGTCCGGGCTCAGACGAGCCCGCGGCCGCCCGCGCGGCCCCCCAGTACGGAGTGCCCCCCGGAGGCCCCCCAGAAGCCCCCAGAGGGACCCCGCAAGAGCCCAGGAGCCCTTCAGGAAGCCCCCCGCCAGGCCGCCCCCGAGGCCTCCAGGCGACCCCAGGAAGCTCCGCAGCAGACGCGGGGGGAGAACGAGGGCCGAGCAGCAGCGGCTGCACGCGGGCAGCACGACGAGACGCGGCGAGCAACCGGCACGCGGCACGCCCTCCGAGGCACATCGCATGCTCTCTGGGCTGGGTGGTCGGCGGAAGGGCGCACGCCTCCTGGATGGAGTGCCTATGCCCCCGCGCGGCCAGCCCGGGGCATGGCGCCGCCCCCGCCTGGCCAGGGCTGTTCGAAATCCCCTGATAATCGTCCCCCGGGTACGGTCTTTGAAGGCGTCTTCCTTGGGAAGCGGGGGGGTCCGGTTTAGGAAGGCGGTTTCTTGAAACCGAAGACGAGGGGGGTCTGGAATATGAAGGCTGAAGGCCCCCCGTTGACAGGGGGGTCCGGAAAATTAGGTTGTCGTTGAAGGGGGGGTCCGGTCTTTTAGGAGGGGGGCGATTGTTCAGGGATTTCGAGTACGTGGATATTTGAGCCGCAGAGGCTTGAGCCAAAAAGGCTACGGACAGCAGCCTCCCAGGACGTGGCCACGAGGCATCCGCTGCAGGCGAGCTGCGCGAAAGAAAAACATCGCTCACCTCTGACATCCAATCTCCACTACCGAAGTATGACGGGGGTGGTGTGTGTGTGAGCGCGTGCGTGCGTGCGTGCGTGCGTGCGGGCGTGCGTGCGTGCGTGCGTGCATGCGCGCGTGCGCGCGTGCGCGCGGGCGCGTGCGCGTGACCGTGACCGTGCGTGTGAGCGTGTGCGTGCGTGGGTGTGGGTGTGTGGGTGTGTGGGTGTGCGGGTGTGTGGGTGTGTGGGTGTGAGGGTTTGAGGGTGTGTGGGTGTGTGGTTGTGCGGTTGTGTGGGTGTGTGGTTGTGTGGGTTTGTGTTGGTTTGTGTTGGTTTGTGCGTGTGTGCACGGGGATTGTGTGGGGGGGGGGATTGTGTGTGTTTGTGTGTGTTTTTGGCCGGCGGCAATCCAAATTGGTCTCGCTTGAGGGCCCGGCCGTGCGGTTTCCCTGCTGATTTCGATTTACTTCGCCTCGTCGCCGCGCGCGAGACCGCGACGGTCAAAACATATGTTTGTGTGTGTCTGTTTTGTGTATGTGCATGTGTGTGTATGCATGCGTGTGTGCGTATGCGCGTACGCCGGATGCGCGCGGACGCAACGCGCAACCACTGACTTTGGAGCCGAGCATCCCGTGAGGCGTGCGTGGGTGCAGGAGCTCACGCAACGCCTCCGCTCCGCCGACACTCCAGGCCAGCTGCCGACGCGCAGCGAGGGGTAATGGACCAGCCAAAGGGGGGGAACCACCGACCCGAAGTCGGCGATACATCGCCGACGGATAGGCGACGGGCGCCGCCGATAGCGAACCCGACACGTTCCTGAGCGGGGCGAGCTGTCGCGCTCTCGCGTCGGCGATGAACGGGTGATTTGGGGGTCGATGCATCCCCCCCTGAGCGCATCCCTCCTAAACTGAGCTGCCCCCTACGCAACACGCGACACGTCGCGTGCTGACACGGCGCTGAACACGTAGACTGGAAGCGTAGGTCTGACGCGATGCGTTCGCTAAAACGTGGGCCAATACGTCGAGCCAACACGCAACGCATCGACACGGACGTTTCGAGCACGGCACGTGTTGCGTATCAGAGCGGGCGTATCGAGGCAGCTGGGCTCCTGAGCCGCCCCTGGCTTTCTCGTCCACAACTCGGCCCCCTGGCTGCCATCCTGGACGGTCTGGGCGCCCCGGGAGCACCCTCGGCGAGGCGCACCCGCTGGAGAGCGTCCCGTGGCTGGAAGGCCGACGGACACCCACGACCACGTCCGGAGGACGACTCCCCCGGACCTCCCCGTGTGGGGCGCGCCCCGGCCAGAGTTTCGAGGCAGACGCAGCCGCGGCCACGACGGCTCCCTGGGACGACCGAGAAGACCTCCAGAACTAGGGGGGAAACAAACCTACCTCGCTTTTGACCACCCTCGCTTCCAAGAGATACCAAACGATGCCAAATTGCAGCCTGTACTGGTCAGGCCGCTTGACGAGGAGGCGCATGGTATGGCTTGGTTTTGCCTGGAAGCGAAAGCGGGGTAGGTAACTAACGCTCTGAAGAACAGCAGGGGCTGGGAAACGGATGATCACAAACGCAAGCGCCCAGACACCGCGAACCTCGAACCTCGCACCCAGCGCTACCCTCGGGAAGACGTAAGACTCGGGTTCGGGGGACTCGGGTTGGCCTGACGAGGCCATCATGAAACTGGCGAGACCGTATCCAAAAAAAATGACGCGAGCTCCCGCTGCAAACGTCCCACGAAAACTGGACCGCCAAGACCCAAGACGCGCCTCGTCAAAAAGCGTCGGCAAACCCGAGTTCGGGCTTACTCGGGCCTCACGTTTCCCCGAAAAAACCGTAACTAAAAGAAAGGAAAACTGCATAAACACAGACTTTTGGCGCTCCGCGCGGATTTCTTGGATCCGCGCTGGACCCCCCTTCCTGGCACGGAGCGCGCCAGGGGCGGCGCTGGAGGCGCCGCTCGGAGGGGCCCAGCGCGGATCCAAGAAATCCGAGCGGAGCGCCAAAAAACGTTTATGTTTGTCCCGGTCTTTCTGCTTCGAGAAAACGCCCAAACACCTGAAACCTCGAACCTCGCACCCAGCGTTACCCCCGAGGCTAGAGGCCTGCTAGATAGGGGTCCGAGCAGACGGGGTCGGAGGATGGCGCCGCATCGCCGATACGTCGGCGATGCGGCTCGATGCGGAGCCCGATCTCCTCCACGCCGACGTCGCCGATGCATCACCCACGTCGACGACGCGCATCGCTGGTGCATCGCCGGTGCATCGCCGATGCATCGCGGATGTATCGGCGCTGCGGCGCGATCCTCCGACCCCGTCTATTGGCGGCGCGCGGAAGGGGGTGTGGGGGGGGGGGGGGAGGCTTCTTAGAAGGAGGCTGCTTCTCAGAAGGCGGCGGCCTTACATCATATCTGTACAGAAGGACCGCGCCTTCTAGGAAGCAGGGG